CTGTCTCTTTCTGAAATAACTTAATCTTATTATCACTAAAGGACAAATTCTCAAAAATCATACATAAATGAGCTTCTACTTCTTCATTCAGAGAGTCATTATCAGAGTTATTGTTCAAAAAATTTCTTGAGAGAGCATCTGCCACTAATAAATCCTTTCCAGGTATATATTTAACTATTATGTCATATGCTTGCAATCTTAGTCTCAATCTTTGTAGTCGTAATGGGGTTTCATTCAAGGGTTTTCGAAAAATATTTTCCAGTGGCTTATGATCAGTTTCAACAACTATTGATTTGCCATAAACGTATTGGTGAAATTTTTCACACCCAAAAGTAATAGCCAAAAGTTCTTTTTCTATTTGAGCCCATGATCTTTGACTATCCAATAGGGCTTTGGACGCATAAGCCACTGGAAAATTATCTTGCAGTAAAACTGCACCTAGACCTAAGCTACTACTATCAACACTTAAAGTTATGGGTTTTTTAATGTCAAAATAACGTAAAACTGGGGTTTTTGTCAACATATGCTTAATTTTTTCAAAATCCTCTGTGTGTTTATCTTGCCAAACAAATTCAATATCATTTTTCAAAAGTATTCTCAGATTACTGGTCAAGTTCGAAAGATTTGGAAGAAACTTAGAGACATATGTGACCATACCCAAAAAAGTTTGCAAGTCTTTTTTACATTTAGGAATTTCCATACTTTGTATAGCTTTAATCTTATTATGATCGGGTTTCAATCCATCCTTACTAAAAATATGGCCTACATACCTTACTTTATCTAAACCAAATTTGCACTTGTTTCCATTGAACTTCACATTTGCACTTTTTGCCCTTTCCAACACTTTTGTTAGTCTGTCTTTATGCATAGCTGGATCTGAGCCCCAGACTATTATATCGTCGATAAAAACTTCTACTCCATCTAGTCCGTCAAAAATATTTTTAAAACACCCATGGAAGACCTCTGGTGCTGACGACAGTCCATATGGCACTCTCTGATAGCAGTATCGTCCCCATTTTCCTGCATTGAAGGTGGTTAATAACTGGCTTTCTTCATGAAGTTTAATTTGATAAAATCCTTTGTTAACATCAAGCACAGAAAAAATATTTGCACCTGGCATTCTGCTTGCAATTTCTTCGAATGTAGGCAGTTGAAAACGTTCTCTAACTATTTCTCTGTTAACATTCTGAGGATCTAGACAAATTCTTAGAGAATTATCTGGCTTTTTCACCACTACCATAGAACTGACCCACTCTGTTGGTCCTGCAACTTTCTTTATGATACCCATGCGCTCCATTCTATCTAACTCAATTTTCACATTTTCTTCAATATTAATGGGTATTTTTCTGGGTGCCTCAGCAATTGGTACAGCGTTTTCCTTCAATTTTATTTTGTAAATGTGCTCCAGTTCGCCTATACCATGAAACAAATCATCATAACTTTTTATCAACTTGGATAAATCATCTTGGCTATGAACTGAGTATATTTTCTTTAAAATATTCAGCTTTTCAATCGTTGGTAACCCTAATACACAGGGAGCATTAAAGTCAATCACTTGAAATTCAATATACTCGGTACCCTCATTTGTGAAACATTCAAGGCTAGTCTGACCAATTAAAGGAATATTACTGCCACCATAGTTTCTTAACTTCATTGGGCTAGGTTTTACTACTGCATCCAGTCTTTGCAAAGTATTTTTATCTATAATATTTACTTGGGCCCCTGTATGTTTTGACCATTCAAGTTTAACGTATGCAACCATTCCTGACTTACAGCACAAACATCACTAGTTTCAATGTTAACTAAGCCAACAAAAAAATTATCTTCGCCATTATTCCCACTTTCTTCATTGTGACTCTCCCGGTCATTTACTTCATGTACTTTCTTGTATATTCGACACATTTTGGCAAAGTGGCCAAAACGCCTGCAGCTTGTGCATTGTTTTCTGTAAGCCGGACATCTATTTGGCATATGAAAGTTACCACATTTATTACATGATGACTGCTGGCCACTATGTATTTGATTTTGAGGCCTGTTTCCATACCCACTTGTACTAGGTCTTTCATTTTGCATAGGACTGTATTTCTGTGAATAATTAGTGGAATTATTGTGAAATCTTTTATTGCTCACAGCTTGTACCATGGCTGTCGCCTGTGATTCATTGTGAAATTGCTTGGTTTGCATTTCTGCCATTTCTGTAGCCTGGCATATTTCTACACAGCTTTTAAGTGTTAGCTGACGTTCTCTGAGAAGTCTTTCTCTTAGTTTTGAGTCTAGCACTCCACAAACAATCCTATCCCTGATGAGACTATCTTTTAATGTGCTAAAGTTACAATCTTTTGCTAACTTTTTTAAGTCAGTAACAAACTGATCGACAGTCTCTCCTTGTTTTTGTACTCTACAGTTGAAAATGTGCCTGAGTACAGTCTCATTTGACTGAGGCATAAAGTAACATTCAAACAAATCAAGCAGCTTAACATAGTCTTTATTTGTCTCTTCATCTACTTCCATTGTGTTGTAAATTTCTAGGGCTTCAGGTCCTATCGTATGCAACAATATAGCCACTTTACTCTCACCTGGTATTTTGGTGCTTTCTTTTATGCCTGAAGCCAGCATATATATTGCAAACTGCTGCTTCCATCTTTTGAAGTTTTCCCTCAGGTCACCATCCAAGCTCAAAGCTTCTGGAGGTTTCAAGTTGCCAGCCATTTTCTATTTTTATTTCCACAGATTTTCACTACAGTTTTTCACTCCGCACTAAGTTCTTTATTTTCGCAGCGCCATGTCATGTTATGCTTGAGTCTTTATGCAAGAAAACACTAGTAATAATTTACTAAATAAACATTTATTGGGTTTTTGTTCTACCGTTGCCACATTGTACATTTTCTTATGAAATAACCTCATAATCCAACCCCATTTCTCCTATCCGTCACCCATGACGCATGTCATTCCATTAAGGTCGATTCACATCAAATAAAACAATACGTATTTCTAACAAAACAAACTGAACACTCATGACAGTTTTCTACCACACACTTCGGATTTGGAACGACGTGTTCCGTCATGGCGATGAGAACCGTCGTGTTTCATCGTAGTCTGATGTGGGGCCCTGTAGAAAACCGTCGTGTTTTTCTATTACACACTTCGGTTTTAGAACGACGTGTTTCATTGTGGCGATGAAAACCGTCGTGTTTCATCGTAGTTTATGGGGCCCTTAACATATTGTGTGATGATGAAGTGTCACAACAAAGTTAAAAAGATTAAGTTTCCTTCCAGTTGCACTACTCTCAATAATCTATACTCTTTCAATCGTTCAAAGTAAAACCATGATCCCTTGACCATGAATAAATTGTATTTAGGTCTTTTTTTTTGAGAGACTTGGGGTCATGGCTCAACAATAGAGATCTTCCAAATACTTGGAAGGAAACTCTTCACTCTGCAAGCTAGTGTTAGACAGTGTAGGTACTCACAATGTAGCAATATGATCAATGCTAACCATACCAACAACATTGTATGCGGCCTAAACAGTTCCCACCCATTTTGGACTTAATTCGTTCAAAAGCGGGTAATACATCATGTTCTGATACATTATAATCATATCATCATCGATCATAACTCTTTGGATATTCGGTAACCCGCAGGATCATTCATCCTAGGTCTTAATAAAAAACGTGTTGTTGCTTAGAAGTTCTGTATTAGATTCGTTGTCAAAATATGTGTTGAATTACCAACTTATTTAGTGTGAGCTGCTTATCCAGCACATTAATTTTATATTGGTTTAGCACTTACAGTAAATTAATAGCTATACAGCTATTTTTCTATCTGTTTGATACAAGCACAGCATTTGAAATTACAATTTTTGGATATTTTGCTATTTATTGTACTATTTGGTTGCTACCGTTTAGTTTTATGTGAGAGACTCGCAGGTTCTCAGGGCAGGATCGCCATGTAATGGATTTCTACTATAACCCTTTGGATTTTGGGTAACCCGCAGGATTGTTCATCCGAGGACCTAATAAAAGACGTGTTGTTGCTTAGAAGTTCTGTATTATAGATTCGTTATCAAAATATGTGTTGAATTACCAACTGGGTCAGTGTGATCTGCTCATTCAGCACACTAATATTACCTATATTGGTTTGGTAAGTTTCAGTTAATAATAACTATACAGGGTGTGCACTATATGGGCACCACAATATTATTAAAGTTGAAATCTAAAATCTTATAATATATGCGTCTATTTTTTTTATCCATTCATTCATAGAGTCATTATTCATTGCATGTAGCCGAGAAGTCAGTTTTGTCTTTGTCAGTAAGATTTTTGGTATTCTTAGACAATAAAGCATGCTTACTGCTACTACTTTCTATTACCTACTAGTCAGGTGTGAGTCCACGAGACACGACCGGAACACTGGCGTCTTGGAACTGTTCAGGTCCTGTGTCAGCATGCTTTTCATGAGGATCTCCCTCTCGGCCGAGATTTTACCTTCGAGATTGTCTTGTCTGAAACGTTCGAGGGTTTTAAGGGGCGGATCCTGAGGAACTGCTTAAACCGTTACGTTTTTTGGTTGACAGTGCCCAACCTTTCTTAGAATTAATCTGGTTCCTGGAGGTCGTCGACTAACCCCGTTCAGACTTACCTACTATTCTTGGAGCTGACAGTGCTCAATTTTTTTTAAAACGGTTCTTCTTAGAAGGTGGGAAACCTGTCAGTGCTGGTATAGGGCCTACCAAGAAGGGGACTGGAGAAGCGAGTAATGACAAATAGGTACTCGCCGTCTCGCTGCCTCTTCCCGCTGTCGCTGTCGTCTCTTGGTTTTTCCCCCACAAATTCGTTTGCCCTTCTGGAAGCCACGTGGACCCAATGTATGATTTATGGACCGCATAATTTCAGCAGGGTGGACGCGGGAAAAATGCAATCGAAAGGCTATACTATCAATCTGAAGAGTACTCTGCGATCTTGGTGGTGGTAAATAAAACATATAAAGACAAATAAAAAACATAACATTAACCACTTGTAATTAAAAAAAAAATATATATTGTATAGTCTATCGATAGTCAAATGAGACAGTAAAAAAAATAATATTCCTTTGGCCGTCGGCGTTTTCTTTATGAAGCACCGGCGGAGTAAGGGAAATTTATTAAAACAGTTTTATATAAAATAAAACATGAGGCACGATACAACTCAAATAGGAATCAAATTTATAAAAACTATCTACTGCACTGTCTTTCCAGACGAAACTGATTCGCAAAGGGCGGCCGCTACAAAGAAATATGCCGCCAAAGAAGCCGCCTCTCCAAAGAAATACGCCGCTAAAAATTCTAACCAATGAGATATTCCTGGAGTCAACGTTGACTGTATAAAACAACCAATAAGATGCGTTGTTCGCCAGTGAATTTGCATCCAATGTATACCGGCACGCTCAATATATTTTTCCTAATAATAGTATAATAATTTTAACGGGCAATACGATAATTTGAGGAGACCCCAATTTTTGCCTTGTCTCATTTGAGAAACGATAGACTATATCACAAAATCCATATCTATTTCATACTGCATCCAGAAATGGCAACAATTTCCTGCGGGCATTCAACTTGTTGGAAAGTGGCTGGAGGGTTGGAGCATCCGTTCAAGAATTCCCACCTGAATTTGCACCCAGGTTGCAAAACTTGAGGCAATTGGTTGCATTCTTCTTCGGTTCTCACGCCTCCGTATTGGTCACCCCAACCTTGATCTGGAGCGTTCCATTGCTTCTTGCATCCTTCGGTATAATATCCCACACCACCTAAAAATAATAATTTATCTTTATTTCAAATCGCCTGTCCAATTAAATGCGGATGGTTTAAAATAAGTAGGTATATCAAAACGTTGAAAGCAAAAATAAATCATTTTTCTTAATTGAGTCTTGGTCCTTATAAACTCACTAAATAGCTAATTATGCTATAGTAATATGTATATGATGATATTTTCTTGCCTCCTGGGATGGATAATTCAATGTTGTTTTCGGTACTGTTGGTGCTGCTGCTACCACCAGTGTTGGTGAGTTGGAGTACCATTTTTTTTCCGGAACAGTCTCCCCATGGACCAAGTCCGAAGGTTACCAACATACACGTACAGCACATGTTTTCTGGTGGTGCGATGAATGCAGCAGCTGCGAATCTATTGAGAAAAAAAAATCAAAAATGGTTGCTTTATTGATTGTTGCTCACAGCATATTTTATATAAGTATTTAGGTTAGGTAACTCTGTAATTGGAATTAGATCTTTTCAATCGCTGATGCAGAATTTGTTGCGCTGGTTGAGTATTTTAAAACAAAAAATTGGACTAGAATTAGATCAGAAATTCCCAGATTTATATTATCTTTTAAGACGGATTTCGATTTTTGAAACTTGTACGGAAGAAAATTGGACGAAACTTACAACGATTATTACCTACGAGTGAAGCTTCAAGAAATTTGAAACTGGAAGGGTAAAATCATGCTGACTGACTGACTCAAGAGAGAGAGCAACGCTGCAATGGCTTTGGACAACATCGCATCATTTCAGAAGAGCTTCTATTGTATTATGTGTACAAAATTATGGAAATCTAGAAACCAGAAAATCCTCCTCAGTTGATAGGCGGCGGAGGCGCATATCCTACTTATTTCTACCAAAGAAAATCATCTCTTTTGAACCATCCTCATATTGGAAACCAAATTTTTATGGATTTTTTATGCTTTCTAGTATTGATTCGTTACCTAAACTTTGCGTACTGTAGCTGCATATTTTCTTCATCTGTGTTTTGAACAGTGACTTTCATACGATGCCAGAGGTATTCATTCCATAATAAGTGACGGAATGAAATTCTTCTACTAGTGATGACGAAATGAAGCTATTTCATAATAGTCGTAGCAAAAGGCATTTCCAGTTACTTATAATTGAATTTACTAAAATATTCTAAACTTACCCATAAGCCAAAGTAGAATTAATGACGATGCTCTGTTGGTTATTGCACATGTAGGCGCTTCCGCCTTCACATCCTGATTGAATATTTCCGTCGATGCCGTTGTTTCCGTCAACAGAGCAAGAGTTTACTGGTCCTGAAAAGTTGTAATTGATTTACACTTTGTGTTACTACAGTAGTACAGTACATACAACTATATTAGAAATGACAACAAAAAGAAATATAGGTTTCTAGGTATCTAGAAATGTTCCAAAGAAAATGTGAAAAAATGTTCAACAAAAATGAAACACCATGGCGGCAGAAGAAGTAGAAGAGCAACCAACCTATAAAATGAGTGGAAGTAAATCATCCCACTTTCATGAAGATCGTAGGTTCAATTCGTGATGATCCAAAATCATGATGATCCTAGATTATCGTGGGATTTTGCAGCTATTTCCCCTATTTATCCGATCTTAATTAAGATCAACGTCTTAAGTTAACAACAAGAACGATAGGTACGAATGCTTAATATTTTTGTTGAGTCATGTGTAATTTGATTCTAATTCTGCAATTTTTAAGCTCTCATTTTTTCTTTTTAATTTTTGTGTTCTTAAGTTTACTTTTCGTACAAATTTAATTTGAGATGATTAACTTTCTACGAGAAAAATTCTAGACCTTCTTCTACAAAGTAAATCCCAACAGTTTCGCGAAAGGGAAAAATTAGCAATATATTCTCTGGAAAAAAAATAGAATGACGACATGGAAAAACTGGAAGAAGAATTATCTCAAATGTAGGAAAATGATCTGGGTCACCGCAATACTTAGATATAGAAAATGTACCATGTAGAGAATTGAACATAGCAAAGAAACTGATTCTCAGGCAAGATGATATAGAACAACTATCTGAAGACATTTCTAAAGCATGTTTCAAAATCATACCAAAATCAAATCAATCTCAAAGTAGGTACGCAAAGCAAATCTCAATGATATCTGCCTTGGAATGGCTAATGAAAGAGAAGAAAGACTACTGAACTGTCTCCACGATAATCAGGATTTCCATATGGGAATCTTTCCCCAAAAATCTGACAAGAGAAGATGGACCTGGAGAAGTGCATAGATGAAACAAATAGAAATAAAATAGGTTATATGCATTATGCAGCGACAAAATCAAATATTATAAAACATGTATCGGTTTCGACAAAGTAAAAGCAACGATAGAGATAAATACCAAATCTTAATAATAATATGATGAGAAAATAAAGTCTTCCATAGATACGCAGATATTGGGTGGTATGAATAAAAATGAGCATTTAGTTTCTACTCCAAATTTTGGAGTAAATACTCCACGTGGTATGAATAAAAACTACGAGCAGATATTTCGCTTGAGTAGGTACTCCTATGTATAATTTGGTATGAGTGGATTCTCACTTTTGGTATGAATAAAAAATTGTTTGTGCTCTTCGGCAGGAGAATCTACTCCATAGTTTTAGAGTCTGCTATGCAGTAGACTCAACTTTCTGCTTCAAGTTATTTCAGTACCGATTTTCCCGCGGTAGAACGCAGAACTATGGCAGAGTTCTTCAGTCTTAACCTGCGTTCGGAAAAATATTACAAAGCTAGAAAAAATACGTGTGATCGGGACTTTAAAACATTGTACCGGTTTGGTAAAGAAATTGTGGAGTGGTTATCAAATAAATTTTTGGGTGAGAGTCTGGAGAAAGAAGAGGTGTTTCTTTATGCAACAAAGACAAATTTAAAATATTTTTAAGATACGTGGGTGACCCGGGCTTTCAGGCAGGAGTAGGCAAGGATGTTGGTGTTCACCAAACTTCAGTGTCTAAAGTTGTATCGGAAGTAGCTGATAAGATAATTCAGCAAAGTGAACGGTGGAACAAATTTCCCCGCAGTCCTGCGGATATAATATTATCCATTCACAATCCGATGTCCACAGGTACAGGTAAAATTTATCACCATTCAATGCTATTTGATAGGGAAAGGTGATAAATCTACCTGTACCTGTGGACATCGGATTGTGAATAGGATATAGAGGCGAAAGAGCGATGGCAAGTAAAATAAAATATGTTGAGTATCTACTCTATGTACTAGGAGTATGTACTTATCAAACCGAAATCTTTTTTATTCTTACGAAATGGAGTATAAGCTCAGACTTCATACTCATGCTCACAAGTATATACTCCGAGTTTAAACTCAGTTTTTATTCATACCACCCATTGAGAAGGAACCAGGAAAAGACCGCATATTTTTTTTTTATCATAATCTTCCAAGTAAGTATAGAGTTTATTGTTATTACATCACTCACCAATGCATGTGTCGGTGTTTCCTTTCCAGGAACAAGTAGGCTTACAGCAATCCCAGTATCTTGACGTAGTACATGAACCATTGAAGCCATCCTTAACGAATTTGATTTCAGGTTGATTTTCAATGGTAGCAGCAGTACCTAGAAAATAAATTGTTGGTTTAAAATTAATATATTGGAAGAAATTGACGAGAGTATTAAGGCAGTAGGTACTGCCCATGTTATTCTTATTCTCTAGCTTTAGTTCACCAGTGTGTCGTTCTATCTTGAGCAGTCGTAGCTAGTTTCTCGCCACTACTCATTGAATGTCGTCTCGCCATCGCATTTTGGGTTTTATTACGTTTCTCTTTGTAATTCTTGGTCGCCATTTCATTATTTTCTTGGTCCATCTTGAAGCGTAGTGTCTTGCAAGGTGTTTGGCCCAACGCCATTTTAGTTCTGCAGCTATATTGACTTTTGCTCAACATAGCACTTTCCATTGCTCTTGGAGTTATGCTGAGATTTTCGGCGCTTTTCTTTTTCAGAGTTACCATCTTTAGTCCGTACGATGCAACCGGCAGAATGCAAGCTCCGAAACTTTACGTTTGAGGTTGATTAGAAAGCTCTCAGATTTAATTTATGTATTTCTTTGTGTCCTGTTTCATTTGAACTGCAAGAGGATAACGTGAACAACTTCTTCAACGAGGATTTATTTGTAAATATTGAGGACGTGAGGTCGAGTGAGTGGAGAATCTTATACCTAAACAATCAATCTGATTTTGAAATCCACGAATCCGTGTGAAAGCGATATCAAGCATATTACCTAATAGATAACAATTTAGATTTCTTTTCATGTAGAATTATTGTGATTTATCACAATTACACAGAGTTTTTACAAGTATAGCAAACCGTCAGTCATGGATGGAATGAGCATTTCAAAAACCTATGAAGAGGTCACCTCATTGAAAAAAAATGTAGTTATTTTTTTATTTTTTTTTTACGGATATGCGCACTCGCAAGGAAATGTCCTATCACGCTCGAGAAGCGGCAAGTGCGCGGAAGTTATACAGGAATGTCCTTCTTGATCATGAGAAATATTATGTTGAATATATAAAACAAAAACAATAAATATGTCATCAAGAATAATCTTCAAAATCGAGGAAATAGCCCATTTATCAATTAGCGTTTTTATGTAAGTAGGTACCTATCTTGTGGACATTTGTGATTCTCAAAGAGTCTCCTTGGTGTAATTCATCATAAAATCGTCTTAATGCTTACAGTTTCGAGGCCATAGAGTGGCACTTCATATACTTTTATATAGTCTATAGGTCGAAACCTTTTGTCCTCACTCATAGCTCGCTAATTCATAAAGGTCTGTGTCCATAAACCCATTCGTTCATAAAAACTTGTATAGTCATATTCACGAGAGAGTTTGAATTTTGACCGTTATTTTCACCAGTTGAAAATAAATAAAATCCCCAGATCTGGCCCTTTTTCTGACTATCAAATAATGATACATGACATTTTGATTTGACACATAAAAATAACAGATTCGGGTCTTTGAATTTTGAATTTCGAATTTTTGTGTGAAATCTTTCAGTTTTTTGCCGTTTTCTGCATTATTTTTTTATTTGTTATTATCGCAATCGGTTTTTTGGTTTTTTATGTAGTGTTCTGTACCTTTTTGTTTCGGTGTTGCGTTTCAAACCTGGTTTTAGTATGGATTTAAGTGTTTACTCTTATTATAAGTGTTTACTTTGGACTCTAATTTTAGGATTTTTGGATTTTAATAACTTAACTTCCTTTAAAGAAATTGAAAATAAATTTTTATTCTGAAATGTATATCACTTTTCTAAATACGACCCTGTCGTTTATCCCAGCTGACGGAATCGAAGCGCTAACGCATGCTGACAACCTAAAGAAAAAGTTTACTAAAAATGTCAACGCGAACTGTCAACTTCACTTTCTATCGTAATTTAGTCTATAGCATAACTAATCGAACTTATTCCTATTATGACATACATCATTAATAGCTATCATTTTTAACGATATTTGACAATAATGAGTACGTAATAGGTACTCATATTTGCAAACAACAATATTGTAGGTACTTACAAAAGCCAATGACAACGGAGAAAACTGCTAAGACGTACTTCATCTTTAAAAATTTTACAGAGTAAAAAAAACGGTTTCGGCACCTCTTATATCGAGAGGTGGTATTGGTACCTATACGTATTGGTTTTTGAGTGTTTTGATAAATCGTGTAAACACTCCAGTACAGCAATTTTTAGAAACAATTAAAAATTATATTGTTTTTTTAGATCGATTAATTTATTACTTAAGGTTTACGCAGGGCCGTGCGGTAGATTTATTCAGCATGAGGCGAGTCTTCAAAATGCCGCCTCCACCGCTCGCCGTTAAACACTTTGACTAAGGGCGGGTATTATAAAACTACTTTGAGAGTTAAATTAAAGTTAACTTCTGAAAATACATGTAATTGAAAAAGTTAACTTCAATTTAACTGTCAAAGCAGTTTTATAATACCCGCCCTAAGTAATTTTTGAAAAAATCAATACGAAATGCTGAGGTACCGGTTTTATTTATGAGAATATCAACAATTCAAAACTTAGTACTTGAAAATTAGCTTTAGCAACGCACTTTAACTACAGCCTTACTCTTCTAACTTTAAGTTTAGCAAATTCGTCAATTAACACTGTGTAATCTAAAGTGGCAGCCAATTTAGATTCAATTGATATTATTGATAAATTTTTAAGCTTTATTTGGCATAATGAATTTCTGATGGTAGTATTCGAGATACATCATGTAATTCTTCTTGAAGATCAGCTGCACTTAAGTCTGAATCATTATTGACAGAAAGTGTTGACTGGAGATTCGTACAATAGTTTTCTAACACTTTGTCATCTATATTTCTAAGTTTCAGAATATCATATAAAAACTGAAAGTTATTTCTATGGGTTTCCAAAAGCGAGAATCGTTCAGTCAGAGAATTAAGAGTAATGTCAAGAGTATAATTAAAAAAGTTTACTTTAAATTTTTTCTCCTCTGTTAAGGGTTCATCGACTGCTTCGTAATCAAATTGACGTTTCTTCCTTCTAGCTCTAACTTCAGTTTCAATCGGAAACTCTATGGTGCATTCAAGATCCCCTGCGATATCGTTAGCAGCAATTTTCATCTGTTCATATCCAAACTGCCTATACGTTTTCAGTTTTTGTATGGCTTCTGATAGCATCCTTACGCAATCTGACAAATTTAACCCTTGCGCTTTAACTTTAGTTTCTGCATCTCTGTTCGCGTCTTCTATAATTTCAATTAATGCGTCATAGATTTCGCAAAGCTGATATCGTAGAGGCTTTAAAGCATCTATTCTGCTTGACCACCTAGTAGCACTCAATGGTTTCAGAGTTAATTGTGAAACATGTTTTATCAGCACCTCCCAACGCTTTGTGGAGCCAGAAAAAAATGTGTAAAGTTCTTGTACAATGGAGAAAAAACTTGCTGTTTCTGTAGAAGACGCTGCGTCATTCACAACAAGATTTAATGGATGACAGGCACATGGCACATAAAATGCCCTTGGATATTGGCCCCGTTATCATAGCCTTGATGTCCTCTAAGCCATTTCAACTCAAAACCTAACTTCTCCAATTGTGTCAGAATTAGCTGTGCCAGTCCTTCTCCTGTTGAATCACTAGCTTCAAAAAATCCAATAAAGAATAATCCAATAAAGAATTCTTCAATTCTATATTTATTATCATTAGAGTTAAAAGCGACTACCCTTACTGTTAGTGAGAGCTGTTCAATATGACTTACGTCTGGGGTACAATCAGCAATTATAGAAAAATATTTTGCATTTTTTGCGATTTCCACAATTTCTTTTAAAATTTTATTTCCCATCAAGTTTATCAACTCATCCTGTATATTATTGCTGAGATAAGTCACAGACCATTTATCAGACTCGCGTTGAACTCTTCGGAGATGTTCTTCCATAACTGGATCAAACTCAGCAAGAAGTTCTACCAACTTTAAAAAATTTCCATTATTTGGTTCAAACAAATGTTCAGTTGTTCCACGTAAAGCCTAACATTGCGAAGCCAATAGCCTTACTATTGCCATAATTCTTTTAAGAACCCCTCTCCAGTGCTGAGTTTCCAGATCCAAAATTCGTTGGTATTCAGCGTCAATAGTTTTTTTCTGCTTTAAACGAATGTCTAGTTCTTTCCATGCTTTGAAAGCATTTCTATGCTTTGCAGATCTTTCATGCATTGTAAGTGCTCTTGTGATATTTTTCCAATCAGAATAGCCTTTTTTGCGCCAGTCACTAACTGAAGACGAATTATCGAATAGGATACAACAAAAACAGAAAACCGCATAATTTTTTACAGAATACATTAACCAGCTTCTCTCAACTGATTCTCCATTGCTTAATACTTTCAAATAAAGCGAGGGTGAAAATCTTGTCTTTATTAAGAGGAAATTCGATTTCTTTAATTTGATATGGTCCCCTTTCAACAAGTATTTGACGGATTTTCGCCTCCATGCAGGCAACATTCCATAAGGCAGGATCAGCAGACACTTCATTTAAACTTTGTTCACTGCCACGAGTGCCACGGTCACTACTGCCCGGTTGTTTCGGGTCGGGTGTGGATGGTACATTATGAATTTCTGATGACGTTTCCTCGCTACCTAAGCTTTCTTCATCAATTTCTCCCGATTGGAAGACCACTGAATTTTCATTGTCATCTATCAAATCCAAAGTCGCCAAAGAGGATGTAGAATGGCTAGAAGGCTCACCAAGCGGTTCATCTTGATTGGATTTTTGTGTTTAAAATCCTTTCAAAGCATAGCTTAACTTTCTTTCCTCTGCTTTTTTCAATAAGCGTTTGTTTTTATATTGACTTCCTGATAACTTTTTCCTTTTCTTGTCCATACTGACACTAATTATTAAAACATTAAGAAATGAATATTCACTAAAATTCAAGAAAAAATTAACAGTTTCCCTTACCTGATCTACTTTTCTTGTATCACAAAAAGTTGTTGATTGAGTAAAGATGCAAAAATAGGAAAATACTTCTGATTTAATAGTAATCCACAGACAGTCACGAGTGTCACGACTCACAGCACTGCAATACGATACGGCGCAACTGACGCAACTCGCTGCAACTCGCACAACATTCACCTACTTGCTTTTGCAGTTTTGACCGCTAGAATAGCGCGCACTAGAATACAGGCGGACCCATCCATAACCCAACCTTAGCCATTTTTTGCCAGAATTCAGATAGGCAAGACGACAGCCAGGGCTGGCGCCTGCGTATTTGCAATCAACGGTATTTGCGAGCGCGATAATGAACGCAATAAATTTATCTTTACATTATGGCGAATTAAAAAATTGCGCTAGGTCGTATAGGTTTTCCCTAGATGTCCTTAATTTTAAGATTGAATTTAATTATTTTGGATTAGTTTTAATCCAATTCGTCAGACATTTTTTAATAGAAGATTTCATTATGAATGACTTTGGCAGAAAGTCGACAAACAAAGTCACATAACCTATGAATAGCATTGTCAATGTTATTAATTTTTTTCAATTTTGGGCTTAAATTTAATAATTATGGCAGTTTTGGAAGAACGTGATATGTTTTATCGAGAGGCAATGAAGCGATGTGTGTTTGGTGATTGTAAAAGTGATAGTCGAACGAGTTCCATTAAATCAACGACCCCATTTGCCTCCACTGGAGTTTAAGGTAACACAGCATCTTGTCAAATCTACGCTTCAGTAAGTATTGGGTGCATTCGCTATGGCTTCTTTGGTTGCAAAACGTTTGATAAAATTAACAGAAAATGATGTGACAGGTGCTGTGTTACCTAAAACTCCAGTAGAGGCAAATGGGGTCGTCAATTTAATGGAACTCGTTCGACTATCACTTTTACAATCACCAAACACACATCGCTTCATTGCCTCTCGATAAAACATATCACGTTCTCCCAAAACTGCCATAATTATTAAATTTAAGCCCAAAATTGAAAAAAAATATTAATAAATTTGACAATGCTATTTATAGGTTATGTGTCTTTGTTTGTCGACTTTCTGCCAAAGTCATTCATAATGAAATCTTCTATTGATGTCAGTCTAGGATTTTGGTAAACTCTGGAAAAAAATTTCCTTATTTCCTTTGGATTTATGCCGCCCCATATTGTGCCGCCTGAGGCAGCTGCCTCTTCGCCTCATAGCACGGCACGGCCCTGGGTTTACGGAAGGTACTTGTCAAATGAATTTCTTATGTTTTGCTAATAAAAGTCAATATAAACAATGATCCGTCCCTGGTTTTGAGGATTTTGGGTCCTGAACACCGATAGGGTTCAATCGAGTAGATGGCAGTAAATCCCAACGATATAATTTAAAACTTATGTATATGTCACGGCCTCTATGTGACGGGGGGGGTGTAGGGTGGATAGATGGAGAGAAACTCGCTCAGTTTTATATAAAATAGTATATTGTTTTATTAGGAGTAAAAGTGATACTTTTGTGACGAGTTGCTACGCCCTACGAGTAAAAGAAAAGGTAAGGTAGAAAATATGGAACACTCGGCAAGCCTCAGCCGGGAGTGGTCGTGCGGTCAGGTCAACTGAGTCTCCAGTAACCTCAACTATTTAACAAAAAAAAAAAAAATAAGGGCGCCAGTAACCTATAACAATACGCCAAAGTCCCAATCGCCACAGTACCCGATTACAAAGTACTTCGTAAGAGTTACCTAAACTAAAACAAGTCTCAAATACTCAAATGAGATTAATCCTCAAACTATTTATTTGTGTGACCTGAAAAAAAAACAACAAAAAAAAAAAAAAACTCCGAAGAACTCGAATTCAATAGGTGCTCCAAGTTTATTACATCATAATAATTATTAGTGATCAAATGCCTCAATAGCTCAACACCAAATTCACCGTTCCAATGCCTAGAATCAATTGTTAAACTGTTAAACTCTTAGGCAAAAGAAAAAAAAATCTCTAGTGTTGTAATTTGTAATGAAAATTCGTAGGCAAAATCCTCCGGTTACCACACCAATAATAAAGGTATTAGCAATAATTATATTAATTTATTTATCTGCCAGTAGTCAGGGACACAGCTACCGTTTGTGATCACAAGGGTTTACACTCGCATAATGTCACCAATTAATTAAAGTTTTGTATAAACGGTAATTTTAAAATACGCAAAAAAAAATATATATAAAGTGTCATTTGTAGGATCGCCCTATTAATCTCAAATATTTGCAACAATGATAATTATTGGTACCATAAAAAAAAATACATCGCGTAAATAAAAAAAATTAAAGTTAAATTATTCGTATAAACAAGTATGTGGACCCACTATCAGTAGGTCAACAAAAAAAGAACTATTGCAATAATTAGTTTCCCTTTTGACTCTTTAGCGATTACCCATTAAGAAAACTCATTCATTAATGTAACCTACCTAATCAATAAACTACAATTTGAGCAGAAGGCTGGGTTCCCCAAAAAAAAACCAGATGTCAAATTTTTGACATGACGTTTCCTAGATAAATAACTACCCAATTAATGATTGTCATTGTCATTAATTGTCATTTCAAACCATGAATTCATTTTAATAAATCTAGACATTTTTTCAGGTTTTGATATCATTTTTCGGGGATAATACCGAGGATAAATACTACGAGAGCTTCAAAATTACGGCGTAGTTACTCATAGCAACTTGCTAAGTGAAGAAATACTTTCAAAAACCGGGAAACGACTGAAACGAGGCAGAAAACTGAGGCTAGGAATCAATATTACTGATATCAGGCCTTACTTCTGTTGCGGACGGCTAAAATTCCATGTAAGGATCAAAAGGCTTTTCAAGCGGCTGCTGTGAACTAACGGTAGTTATCCAAGAAAATAGGCTGTGAACTAGAGGTGAGTAACCGATCTTTAATATCTGTAATTGTATGCAGGGTGTTACAAATTTGATGTTCACCATTGGCATTGGCATCTCAGAAATCGTTAGAGATTCAGGGTAAAAATTAAGATAAAGTTGCGTAATATCCGGATGAAGGCTTGTCGGTTAATCCGCAAAAAACCGTAATTGTCCCGTTCACAAAGAAAAGAGTACTAAGAAAACTTCGATGTCCTAAGCTCAATGTAGCGGAAATCCCCTTCTCAAAAGAGGTCAAATATCTAGGAGTTATTTTTGATCAAAAGATGACCTGAGGTCTACACCTCGATAAAGTTGTCCATAAGGCCAAAATTTCCCTGGGGAGATGCAGAAGGCTCTGTGGAAAAAGCTGGAGACTTAATCCAAAGATGAATCTATGGTTATACAAAATGGTAATGATAACCTAGGGTTCGATTGCCTGGGGTACAAAGGTCACACAGACAGTAGCAATCAGACAGCTTCAAAGTGTGCAAAGGCTAGCCTGCGTATGCATCACGGGTGCCATGAAAACAGCCCCAACCACAGCCTTGAAGGTGCTGCTTAACCTGCCGCCACTACATATCTACATACAGAGTGGAGTAAAGGCGGTATTATACAGACTGAAGCAAGGCCAGGGACCAATTATAGAAAAAACCAAACGCCCATGAGCTGGAAAATAGAGGAGGACCCAGAGGTAAACTCATTGTTCAGGATGCACTCCAGACAAAACAAAAACTATCTTCATTTTCAATAGGCACTTCCGGGTAAAGCAGACCACATCTGGTACACCGACGGCTCCAAGACCTGCAAGGGAGTCGGAGCAGGCATCTACGGGGACAAACCTAGGGTGGAAATATCCACAAGTCTTGGACGGTACGCCACGGTGTTTCAGGCGGAAATCGCTACAATAATGCACTGTGCCATACTGATAAATGTAAGGAAAGTTGGGAGTAAAACCATCGTTACTTACTCGGACATCCAGGCGGCCCTAAAGGCAATCAGCTCCCAAAAGATCAGCTCCAAGCTGGTTGGAGGCTGTGTACGTGCCCTAGAGGAGGTGGGCCTGTCCAACAAACTTACCATAGCCTGGGTACCAGGCCATGAGTGACACCCAGGAAATGGAAAGGCTGATGATTTGGCCAAAGGAGGCTCGGCCACTGAGATGATAGGCCCAGAACCATTCTGCGGAATTTCTGCAGGCAGTTTTAAAACATCTATTAAGAACTGGATAGACAGAGAGTTCCAGAGCTGGTGGCAGCGAACACCAGGACAACGACAGGCAAAGCAGTTTATCAAATCTTGCTCGCCCAAGTTCACAGCAGAACTACTAAGCCAATGCCGCAAGATTGCTAAGATAACGGTAGGCCAATTAACAGGGCATTGTAAACTCAACAAGCATCTGGAAAGAATGAACCTGGCAGAGGATAGCCTGTGTAGGTTCTGCCAGGAGGCGGAAGAAACTGCCTAACATGTATGGTGCCATTGCGAAGCGCTATGCAGGCTTAGGTTTGCGAGGCTTGGAGAGGAAAAGTCCAATCCGGCAAGCTACATGGGGTGGCTAGTATCATGGCTCTGGAGTCTAATAAAAAGGACGGGTCTAGAGAACGCACTCTAAGGACAGATAGGAGATACCACAATAAATCTGATAAGGTTGCAGTGGTAGAGGACGCCTCTGCGCCATCTCCATTCAAAAAAATCTAAAACAAATATCCGGAAATATTCAATCAATGCAAAATTGATAATGGTTGAGCAAGAACGAAACGTCGGATCAAAAATCCAATCACGTTTTGTTGTTGAGGAGAAAAAATTATTACAAAAATGCCAGATCTATTTTTCGTATAGCGGTCACCAATGACACAAAGCATATCTACCACCCAAAAAAAGGCAACTATATAAATTATTATCAATTATAGCCTATCTAGAAGGTTATACAATTCAAGTTTAAATCATGTTTCCGATGAACTCGACTGGGTACTAACGTTTCAGCTACAGCTGGCAAAGCTCAAGTACCAGTGAATTATGATTTAAAGTTGGCTTGTACAGGGTATTTGATTATATTTGGACCCATACCTACAGCCTTTACTATTTAAGATAGAAAAAAATTTTAAATACAAAACTTGATAGTTTTTTTTCTATATTTTCTTTCAACGTTATCAGAAAAAACAAAATCGCATCGGAAAATGGAGAGACGTAGGTAACTTCGACTTTTTTTAATGGAACACCCTGTATATTATATGCGATAAAATGAAAGATCTTTTCTTCCTGATTCCAAATATATATGTATATTGATCACATTTGGGTGAGCCGTTTTTGATATATCTTAGCTTAAATTATAAATAATTTGCAAAGAAATTTCATGAGGATGTTAAGAAATGATATTCTTTTTAAAATTTCTCTGCAATTTATTTATAACTTAAGCTAAGATATGTCCAAAATGGCTCACGCGAATGTGATCAAAATATCTACATACTTGGAATCAGGAAGAAAAGATCTTTCATTTTATCGCAAAATATACAGGGTGTTCAATTAAAAAAAGTCGAAGTTGCCTACGTTTCTTCATTTTTCGATGCGATTTTTTTTTCTGATAACCTTGAAAGAAAATATAGAAAAAAACTGTCATGTTTTTTATTTAAATTTTTTTTCTATTTTAAATAGTAAAGGCTGGTAGGTATGGGTCCAAATATAATCAAATACCCTGTACAACCAGCACTGGAACCACAAACAATCGCTATCATAAGTTCTCGACAATTTCCCCTCATTTCTCACCTCGTCCACCCATCGCTCAACGTTAGGGTCCAAAATTGCCATCACCAACGAACATTTGCGGTGCAAACGAACGTTTGCGGTGGCAATTTTGGCGACTAACATTGAGCGATGGGTGGACGAGGTGAGAACTTGTCGATAACTTATCGATAGCGATTGTTCGTGGTTCCGCAGCTGATCTTCATATTTACATAATTTTTTTCATAGGATTTTTTTAGCGGATAACAACTGATGACAACAATTATTATAGAACTATTAGAAGAAAAATGCTTGATCAAATAATAGAAAAGTAAGTACCGGGTATCCCACCGAAAACTGTCAATGGCCTATATCTTGAAAACGGTAATCGATAAAAAAAAAATGGAAAACCCTTTTAGAGGGGTTGGAAGGGGGAACCAAAACAAGGTACTTTTCAGGTCTCCCTGAATCACCCCTCCGGCCGTAGCTACCCTAACCTCAAAATCTTGAATGACACTATGGGTCATGTGATACCTTTTTTGAAAGGTTTTTTAATTATTTAAACAAATTTTCAAAAAGAAATTATCTAGATACAAATTCAAATTGTCACAAAATGGAGCATGCTTTCTTGAGGAGGTGAACACTGTCAGGTACAGTGAAGGAAAAGGGGTTCAAAAAAAATAAAATCTTGATGATTTCTTCACAAATATTCATGCTGTAATTCAATTTGTATTTTAAATTCCATTTACCCGTTCCACCCGATCAAATGAGGTTTTCATCAAAATGAGAGTCCCATTCAAATCTAGATAATGTTTTTTTTGCAGATCTATTATCTATTAAGAGAATTAAAAGACCTTTAAAACAAGGCATCACATGACTCATAGTACCATTTAACATTTTGAGGTTGGGGTAGCTACGGCCGGAGAGGTGATTCAGGGAGACCTGAAAAGTACCTTGTTTTGGTTCCCCCCCTTCCAACCCCTCCAAAAGGTTTTTTTTTTATCGATTACCGTTTTCAAGATATATATAGGCCATTGACAGTTTTCGGTGGGACACCCGGTATATTCTTTCGGTGTTGCAATGGCTAAATTCGCTAATACATGATTTCTACTAGATAAAAGTATAGCCACCTACTAGACAAGTAAAAGCCATCAGTTCGAGAACAAATGGACCTAATTTTGTACTTTGCTTCTTTAATTTAGATGTAGATTAGAAAAAAATTATAATATGAAAATAAATATTTTAAAACAAAATTGAATAGGTATTGTGTTTAATTTACAAGATAAAAACTATTTTGACCTTAAGTTGCAATGGTCATGGGTATTTATTTACGGTAATAACTCAGGATCTAACATTTTTTCATTTTGCCAGCCCAGGTATTCTCATAATTAAAACATCCCTATAACGTCGGTAAGGACTGGCAATGTGCGTCCTCACAAGTCCACAAATGTCCACAGAAAATGTGTCAAAATCTCAATTCCGTATTGTTCGTCGATTTTCAACTGACACTTTCCGTATGAGAAGCGAGGGGGTGTTTCATATGGCAAAAGCAGGTGTGACGTCAGGTACCTAATCATTGGCGTTTTAATGTAGGGAACCACCAGCTCACATTCCGTCGATTAAAATCGACGGAAAATATGTAGGTATTTAAACAAATAGGGGTTATATTATACCGGGTGGTTCATCCGCTTAGGACACATCAAAAACAGTTCTATGGGCCCTATCCTGCTGGTGATACTATTGAATTTTGTTGTTGCCAAATTACGTCTTCTAGAAAAATCTAGGTCCTCTCAGCGTCATTCAAGTCAGTAAGGAAAGGATAGATATTTGAACATGGTCCTGATAGCGTTATTTATTCACATAAAATTGCTAGTTTCCACAATTTGAATCGTTTTTACTACTGGAAAATAATTTATTACAATAATATTATTTAGAGAACTCAGCCGGCGAATTTGCTTTGATGCCCGTGTTAGCGCGGTGTTGCCGCTTTTAAATTTTCATTCTGTTGTTAACCGTGTTGCCATAATTATTTATTTATAATGTAGGAAAAAGTGAGCGTTCACGTATATATAAAATAGCAGAGTAAAATGGATGGCAATGCAAACGAAATAATATTTATGCGGTGTTACTAAGTACTTTCGGCAAGAAGTGAAGACTAAACAGGAAGTTAGGTACATGTAGAAATAGTAGTTAGGTTAGGACACCAGTTATATGTTACTCCTTTATTTGGTACGTCCGGTAAGAGATAGCGTGATGATCTCTTCTTACCCCTTCCCACCTTGTTTTTTTCTGTACTAGCGTGAGGGATTATCAGTGTAGTATTTTAAAGTTTGCGTATTCCGAGTGTTTTCCAGAACTCGCTCACCTCTAAAACTTTTGTACTTCCAAAAATAAACGAATCAAATTTGTTGTTTTTATTCATGACCCAAATGTGCATTATTTGACGTATCCAATTATTTATTATCACTTCTGGTTTGACCGGAAGTTACCCTAACTTTCTTACTTTAAATGAGACGCCGCATGTATATTTTTCCTTGTTCCTAGAAAACTACATAACACGAGAATGACACCTCATTTTCCACTTTTTGACCTTTGATCTCCAAGTTATTCAGATTTCTACGCGGGTCTTCAATTCCCAGTTCTAAAATTTTTTTCCCAGCATATTTTAGAATTCATGTATTGTTCTGAATCTTTCTTATTAGATTGATTGCAAGGAAATGTGGAAACCTTTTATAACGTACCTAACCTCTTAGCAGCAGTTCAGGTATATCCGACAAGTGTTGACCTCCTGGCTCCTACCTATCATTCGTAGCAATTAGGTTTCAAACTTATCAATTTGATTTATTTTCAAAAGATACACGTGGATGTCCTTATACCGTAAACAAGCCCCACACTGATACACAATTATACACTCGAAGATCTACGTTAAACTGACCAAAATGGGTGAACTAAGTTTTCGGGTGTAAGGTACGCTATGAGGACCCACATGATATATATACAGTTAGGACCGAAATGAGACGTACAAGTCACTTATGAGGTCCGAACGCTCCCAGGACCAAAATTAGTCCTCATAACGTTTTCAGTCCTTACAAAGTCGGTGAGGAGTGGGTGTGACGGGTGTGTGTCCTCATAAGATACGAGAAGTCCACACACACATACATACACACAGACGGAAATGTGCCACCTTGCCAAAAAGGCTTAAAATGATCCAAAACGTCAAGATTTAATGAAATTTTGACATGGTCAAAATTGGGCTATCACCATAGCTTCCTATCTAGGAAGCTAAAAAGGAAATATATAAAAAAAATGTGTATGGTTATTTCAAAAATTAATTAAGAACAATGCCTTACAATCAATAGGAATATTAAATAGGCAATCAAGAACCCAGAGACCCACGAATTCTTTTAGTTTTACTTAGCTGCAATCTCTCATCGAAACTACACTGCTCAACAATCGAACTGGATAATTGCAAATATACTAAAATCCTCATTTAAAAAAATAGATAATAAAAAGGTGTTTTATATTATCAATAAACAGTTAATTGATTATCAATAAACTGGTTATTGATAATATAAAACACGTTTTTATTTTCTATTTTTTTAAGTGAGGATTTTAGTATATTTGCAATTATCCAGTTCGATTGTTGAGCAGTGTAGTTCCCCATAAATTCCAGATGACGTCACACAAGGGTTTGACTAAACTTGAGCCTCTATCCCAACTAGAAAGGTGGTGGGTAGAACCTCAGACTAGAATGCTTCACCAGATTCACCAATCGTTGCCTTCATAGGTGGAATTACGCCTAGGTAGCTTGCTTGATTGACCCAGGGTATGGAAAAACCCTAGAAAACGATTCTCTAGTAAGCTTTTCTTGAGGTGATCCATTTAGAAAGTCGAATTTGAAATTCCACTGATAAATTATTACGGAACTACAGTAGTACCTTTGGTAGTACTTACACATAGAATGTGGTTTTCTGCGATGTCAAGGCTACAGTTGACAACTTGAGTTGAGGAAGTCAAAATCCAGGAAAATCTATAAAACGAACGACCATCAGTTCTCCAGATTGATACCGGAGATGCCAGACAGGCAAACCCAAGCAACATAAGGCTACGTTTATGAATATTAATTAGGATGATTGAGGAAACTTACACTTGTTGCTTGTTGGGTTCCAAAGCAGTCCACGACCAGCACCAATAAAAAATCCGACTATTTGTCGCTATTAGCCCCGTAGGAAAAAAATGCACAAGCACTACGATAACTACGGCCACTATGATATCCAAAAGGGAAATAAATCCTCCAAATTCCAGAGATTAAGCACTAAAACGCCAAAATAATTTCCATTAATGGCGGTACCGACCATTCAGCTCAAGGATCAAGTTAATAGTCTCCTACACCACTATCCGACGTCACAATTTCGTCCATACAGACAAGAAAAGGAAAGACGGGTGTTGTGATCCTTCAGTGTTTTGCCTTGGTTAAAACTACTTTTGTTTTTGGTTTGAAACTTGTAGCTTTATTAGGTAATGGAATATAGAATGAAATTGAACTACAGCAAAAGTAAGACTTATTTTAGAGAGAGTTTTAACAAAATGTGTTACTACGACTGAAGCTGTCTTAAGACTGTCTTCTTGCTTCACTAGATCTCTTACAAATCGACCTTTACTTCCCTTCTAAAACGTTTCTAAAACCTACATAATTACAACTGGAAAACCCTAAATAAATATTGGCAATAAATGACAGTCTGTTCGCCCAAAGAATGACCATTAAGGATATTTGGGAATTTTGGGGTTTATGGTGGACAAATGTTTAATTTATTTACATACAATATCTTTGGGTTCTTTAACAGAAAGTCTGGGTCATATAATAGTATTGCTTTCGGCGACGGCGAGACATTATTTGGGAAAGTATTCGAGGGTCGTAAAAGGCACAATGTCATAATATTATAGAGGAATATGACACGGGAAACCAGAATTTCAACACTCTCTAACTTATATAGGCTAACTAATAATTTAAACGGATCATAGACCCACGGAACAAGGGCAAAATCACGAACCATCCGAAGAATGCAATAAATAATATGCAAATTAGAATAATTTCTTTAAAACTTGAATTATCGGTACCAAGCGCCTACGCTACGACGGGTTGGACAGAGATAGCTTGCTAGGGAGCAGAACCTGAAATTCTCGATGTTTTTATTTGCCTCCAACTTTGGGTTATAATTATTAATATAAATAATATTTTATTTCTGTCATTTATCGACGTAAATTGATGTAATTCCATCTTCCGGATTGATTTGCTTAACTAAATTTAAAACGTTACAGAGTCTGTTAGTTTGCCTGCCGAACGCAGTGAGGCCGGCAATACAGACGAGTCACAAAAGAGGCTTTTACTCCGAATAGAACACGATATTTTTTCTTCAAACGAGTTTGAATGTCGTTCGTCAAAACGTCCCTTATCTTTTCCTTGTCTTTTTCGTATATTTTCTAGTGCTATGGCTCTTATCAAGAGTGCCTTTTCTCTAATTTGCAAAGAGTCCATTTCGTTGTCAGCGTCCAACACTGCAGCTTCTGCTGGTAGTGTGGGTTTCCTTGCATATGTTAACATAAACGGGCTAATTCTTATTGTGTCCTGTACCGCTGTATTTATACCCATTATTCTACCTAATTCCTTGACTATATCCGACTGGAATACTTTTCCTCTGTTGCTCAGTAAGTGTCTTGGCATTCCATGTATCAAGAATACTCTTTCCAGTAAAAACTTCGCTACTGGCCCTGCTTTTCCATTTGGTAGGGCAGCAGTGATGGCGTATCTTGATGCATAGTCCGTAATCACTACTCTCATCGTTTTCCCTTGATTACTTCTTCTGAACGAGCCTAGAAGATTAATCCCTATTTTATCAAATATCGTCCCCATTTGGATTGGTTGTAAAAATCCTGGGGTTTTTCTATATGGCTGCTCCTTTCTTGCTTGGCAGTCTTGGCATCCCTTAATATATTTTTCTATGCCTTTCAGCATTCCGTCCCAAAAAAATCGTCTTTTTATCTTATCCGTTGTTTTGCTTAAGCCCAAATGTCCACATATTGGCGAAGCACGGAGTTCCCATAGGATTTCACTTTTCATTGATTTTGGAATCACTAGCACTTTCTCTAAGCCTCTTTGCGTTTTATTAATTTAATACAGTAGGTTATTATCGAATCTAAAATTCTTTGCCCTTTTTCGAATGCCTATGTTGATGTCTGGGTCTTCTGGATTCTCTACTGCATTTCTAAGTTGTCTCACCGCTTGGTAATTTTTTTGTAACGTGCAAATTTCCTCTGTTCTCAACGCAAAAGTTGGAAGTTCTTCCTGTCCTTCATTCTCTTTGATTTCTGGTTGGAGTACTGGGTTGCGAGACCTACAAGCAGCATCTCTATGTGTTGAAACTTTCTTATAAACAATTGTAAAGTCGAATTCTGCTAACTTGAGTGCCCACGTGGCTAAGCGTCTGTTGCTTTCCTTTATTGAATCCATCCAGCAAAGCGCGTGGTGATCAGTCACGATTTTAACTGGTCGGTCGTATATTAGATGCCTCAGGTAGCTTAGGGCCCAGACCACTCATCCTAATAGCTCCAATTCGCTGATTGAATAGTTTTTTTCGTTGTTTGACAGACTACGACTTATGAAAGCTATTGGATATGCACTTCCTTTCTTTCTTGTAATAGTACTGCTACGATTCAGTATGTCGATGTATTTGGGTCAAAATGCTTTAGTATTGGTGCTGAGGTGAGCTTGTCTTTGAGAACCTTGGATGATTCTTCCTGTCTAAAACCCATTGGAACTTTGTGCTCTTTTTCGTAATATCATGCAATGGCCTGGCAAATGTTGAGAAGTTGCCTATAAACTTTCTCTTTCTGTGAAAGTTACAAAGTCCTAGGAAGCTCTGGACGTCTTTGACCTTTCTTGGTGTGGGAAATCTCTTCACGCAATCTATCTTTTCTTCATCTGGTAGGATTCCTTTTCCTCTGACGTGAAAGCCTAAGATTTTAATTTCTTGCTTCAAGTATTCGCATTTGCTTGGCTTGAGGGTCAAATTTGCCTGTCGCAGTCGTTCAAAAACCTTTCTTAGTTTTTTCAGATGTTCCTCTATACTTTTGGAAAATATAATTATATCGTCCAGGTAGATCATTATTACCTTCCATTTTAGGTCCCAAAATACTCTATCAGCTAGTTCTTGGAAGGTTGCTGGAGCGTTACATAATCCGAAACTTAGTACGAATAGTACGTTGAATTCGTGAGCCCGTGTGCTATAAATGTAGTGTAATGGTTTAGAGCTTTCTTCGACAGGTACTTGCCAGTAACCCGAAAACATATCTAAGGGACTGAAGTAGGAACCCTCCCCTAAATATGATAGAATATCATGGATTTGGGGTAATGGGTACGTTGATTTCCTTGTCACGTCATTAATTTTTCTGTAGTCCACACAAAATCTGGTTTTTCCATCTTTTTTCTTGACTAGCACTACTGTACTAGCCCATGGTGAGTGACAAGGAAGAATCTCACTGCTCTCTAGCATTTTCTGAATTTGTTCATCAATTATTATTTGTCTCTCTTTTTGTGGTACTCTGTATGGTCGACTTTTTATTGGTTTGGCGTTCTCTATTTCGATTTTATGTACAGTCAGATTTGTCCTGCCCATGTTCTTTGCTGATTTGGCGAAAATGTCATTGCATTCGAGGAGTTTTTGAAGTGCCTGCTTGGTTCTTTTGTCTTTAATACTTTCTATCTTGTGATCTTCTAATGTTACACTTATTATTATTTATTTCTTCCTG